ACACACACACACACACACACACACACACACACACACACACACACACACACACACACACACACACACACACACACACACTATACTAGTGTTGTCATGTTCACCGTGCATGCCTGTGTTGTCATGTTCGCTGTATGCAACTCCACAAAAGGAAGCATGACTGTGCCAGACTGTTTCGTTGGATTTTCACCGACTCATCAGGAGGTTGAACCCCGACAGTCTGCCCAAGATGCATTTCCGTGCGTGTATGTCATGTCATGTTCGATATACACAACTCCAGTCAGAAGGTTGCATTTGAGTGTGTCCATGTGTGTGTGCATATGCATGTGTGCGGGTGCGTGCATGTGTGTGTGCGTGCATGTGAGTGTGCGTGCATGCAAGTGTGCATTGTCGACTGTCCTAAAGAGCACCACTGCGCCACCAAAGCCCTGAGCGGGAAAAAGGGGAAACGGTTTTGCTTCAGGCCTGGTGGCTGGCGGGGCAGACCATACGGCGAGGGCCACCCTGCAACGGGCCAACGCCCAAAGGCACGGGGCGTAAGGCCCGGCAATTTTTTTTCTCACTACCTGCTTTTTTTCACTACCTACAGGCCTATACAGGCCCTCAGGCCGGGTGCACTGATCCAGATCGTCGGCCGGTCCGACGGTTCAGATTGTCGCGTGATCTTAAGACTTTAAGATCGCGTGACGATCCAGGCCGCCCACCCTGTCGGACGGCCTGGATCATCGCGTGATCTTGAAGCCTTAAGATCGCGCGACAATCCGAACCGTCAGGCCGCCCACCCTGTCTTAAAGTCTTAAGATCGCGCGACAATCCGAACCGTCGGGCCAGTAGGTAGGACCACGGACGGACCGGATTGCTGATTTCTCACGTTAGGAATTTCTATAAATGTAGGTAAGTTAATTGCTTAAATGTTGGTTTTGTTTTCAAATTTTCAAATTAATAACATAATAAATTAATAATAACAACTGTCAGACTGATTAGTAGTCTCAGGAAACACAGGCAACAAATTAACGTAATGATGGGTGACTTTTTTTACCAATTTGTGAAACAACATTTTTTCAAAGCAATCAAAAGTGGCAACAGGTTCGAACAACATTCCCTCCTTGGCCATCGGAAATTTTGGGCAAAACCGCAAGAACATCACTCAATTGGCGATTTCGGGTTTTCCGACTTTTCCCCGTGTGATTTTGCACAACTGCACAGAAGAAACCAGCCCCCCCTCCCCAGGTTGCCTTTCCAATCACACTGACAAATTCGGCAAATCAGTTCAACAACTTCAACTTTACTCACCTGTTTCCTATGTGCACTTCACTTGTGCACTGTGCAGCTTTGCGGCACTCTCATTACGTAATACATGTCTCTCTGACTCTCTCATTACTGCAGGACTCTTCTCTCTGCAGATTGTCAACGTCGACCATACAATCATGACAAATTCATCTGACATAGTTGTGGTTGCAACAAATGCAAAAGTTATAAAACGGCACGGCGCACGCAATGATTCAATTATTATTACACGCATTTTCGTTATCAAATTTCAAAACTCAAAAATTAAAAACATCACACAAATTCCATGTGGTACAAAGTACTACAAACCAAAGAACGCAGACTCTCGATTGCAGGTCAGACAGAACTAAGACCACCAAAAAAGTACACAACTGCAACCATCAAGAACGAGGCAAAAAAAAAAAAAAAAAAAAAAAAACTTGGTAGATACGGGTATGAACCAGGGAAATGAAAAAAAAAGGAAAACAAGAAACAAAAATAATAAAGAAGAGTGTGCATGGAGATCAAAATAGAGATAACAGAGAGGGGGGAGGAGAGGAGGGGGGTGGCCCGGGGGGCGGGAAGGAGTAATGTTTGAAAATTCCTCTGGTCATCATCGTTGTATAGACGTTGACATCAAGAGATTCAAGACAAGCCAGTTACTCTCCAGACCATAGCGGACCACGTGCCCGAGTTTCTTGCACGCCCCAGCAATCACAGATGCCAGTATGAAGTGTCATTTTGAGCAGATTTCAACACAACTCTTGAACAAGATCAGCAACAGCCATTGATGAAAAGACATGACGGCAAGGCTTCAAAATTCTCCAGTTACGCGACAGACCCTGCAGTGTCCAGAAGGTTCCGGCGGGGACCGCCCCAAGATCTGACAGATTAAACAGCTGCATTCATAATGTTACCGCGACCACGTCCGTCACTGGCAAATGTTAGGTCGGGATCACGTCCATCACTGGAAAATGTTAGTGAAGGTGAACTTCAAGGTGAAGGGAGACGAAAAGCGTTTAGAGCCTGTGAACTTCAGAACCAGCCTGTTCACATCTTAGAAGAGACGATCTCGATATCCCAGGTCAACATGAAGGATGTTTCCCAGACCACACACATGGACAATCTTTTCACTCAGAAGACCAGTTATCAATAGCCCCGAAGCCCAAGCTGTTGGAGGTGGGATGACGGCAATGAATACATTATTCAGATACCAACCAATGTGCCTGCCTCCATCAGGCATCGGCAAATTCAATAATTTCAGTCTCAGTCCGACTGAACTGTCAGTCTCAAGAGGAATCAAATTCAATCAATGTGTGTGCTATCACTCCGCAGCGTGAGGGCGAGAGTAGGAAACACATGGTAGAAGGAGCCCGACAAGAGGGATCGTATGCATGTGCGAGCACTCCGTCGCATGAGAGCACTGCCATTCTCGGTGTGATGACTTTCTCGGTGTGATGACTGTACTGCCATTCTGTGTCAAAAGCTCAAGATGAATCAATGCATGTGCGAGCACTCCGCAGCACGAGTCGAGAGAAGGGAACACTTAGTAGAAGGAGCCCAACAAGAGGGATCTTATGAGAATGTTGTAGACGTTGTCGGTGTGATGACTGAACTGTCAGTCTTTCCCAACAGCAGCTCAAGAGGAATCAATGCATGCGCTAGCACTGCGCAGCCTGAGAGCGAGAGTAGGTAACACACAGTATAAGGAGCCCGACAAGAGGGATCTTATGAGAGAATGACCTTCAAGTTGTCTACTCTGTTGGTGTGATGCCATCTGAACACCTACCATGGCTTTGGTAAGCTACGGATGGTATATTGTGAATACAGGGGTACGAATAAAAGGGTACCGTGCGTACGTATGTTGATCATATTAGTACCTTTTTTCCTCGTCCTGAGACCAAGGATCTCAGCAAATATGTTGCCAGAGTCATTGGCTCGGATAGTCCGACTTGCCTTATAAGTTCTTCTTCTATCATCCATCATCGTGATGACAAAGATAGCAGGGCGCCGTCTTTGGGTCTTCATGACGAAGCGAATGTTCATTCAGAAGAAGTTTCATGCGCAAATGCCTGTACAGTTTTGGTGACCACCAACTTCCGCCTGGCTACGCCATTTGCACATTCATGCGATGAGCCATCTAGAGTTGTAATTTAGCCTGCGATGAAGTAGCTGTGGTTGTCCGACCACCTACCTTTCGGTCATTTCCTCTCCACATTGAATAGTCAGTCGTTCGTTGATTGTTTATCGTTGTGGTTGTCCGACCACCTACCTTTCGGCCATTCTCTCTCCGCATTGAATGGCCGTTCCTTGATTGTTTATCGTTGGCGAGAAACACCCCTTGGATGTGCAAGATGCATGGATATTCGCTCTGCCCTTGACTGACCATCAACCAGTTCGCCTGCAGCAAGCAGTACTATACTAAGCACGGCTTGCTCCCTCCATAGATAGCTTCAAAGGGGACAACAGATCAGTTTCCTGAGCCCTCACCGGGCTTGCAGGAGCCTGCCAAACTCTGACGTCAGCATGATCTCTGTGAGATTGTCGCAAGTGGGATTTCCTCAGACAATCTCGCACTTGAAATCATGTCTGAGTTTTTTTGAAACCGTCAAATTTAATGAACTAAGTTTCAAACCAACAAGAGTTGGAGATCAATGATCATTAAATTAAATTAAATTTTGTTATTCCTAGACGGATACCATTGTCATGATAATGTTTGAAAGTGACAAAACTTAATCATTTTTGTTGTGATTCACAAAATCCAACTCTGGCCGTTGGAACGCGGTTCGTTTTTTTGAAAGCAGTGGGAAATCCAGTCCTCCCTCGCGTTCCACTGCTTTCGAAGTGGACAAGTCGGCAGATGCCAGTCCATAAACAGGTCCCATAAATAGTGCCGTACCTCTTCCTCGCTCCCCGGTGGAGTAGCTCAGCCAATGAACTAGCAAAAAATGTGAGTCCAATGTTAGGAACATAGGATATAATAATTTGGCAGGCAAGTGTGGTGATCACCTCCACCTCCCAGTTTTTGACTTGGACGCGTCTGCACCTACGTCCGCTACTCGACGCTGAATCTTTTCCAGGGCATGTACCACACGTCTCATGGTTGGTCTCTTCTCAGGCATGAATTGGATGCATTGCTCTGCAATGTTCAGCAATAGATAAAGCTGTCGCGGAATGAAATCCCCCCGCAGCACAGGGTCAACCACATCTAGAGCTGAGTTCTCGTCCTTGACGGTGTCGAAGATCTGCCAGCGTTCAGGAGCCATAACAC